ATCGGTGCGCAACATCGAGTAGCTGCAATCGGCTCATTGAGAACTGTTTCGGACGCTGAATTCAGGCTCAATTCAAAACATGATTCAGCAACTTTTGATTGGAAATCGAGATCCTAGGATGTTGTTTTTCTCAAAATATACAGCTGAAGCTGAGCTGAAACTTCATCAGGTTAGTTGTTCAGCACCCTTCTTTAGATTTTGAGCACTTTTAATGCTTCAAATGAACAGAATGCGCAAATTACAAATGATGGACTATATCTTTAACCGTGTGCAAATTAATTCGTGAGATGTACATGTGCATGTGCAATGTAGGCTGCTAATGCTGTGAGCCAATCACTCATTACCAAAGAAAAACTTGTTTGAGTTTGCCCACGGACCATTGTGGTCCATGGTTTGCCTTTAAATACACTATTTTTCGCTTAATAGGTGAGTGCTCCAAACGAAATGAAAAGCACAGGCAATAGTTCCATATCGCCATCACACACATACACTCAACCAGAAAATAAATCCCCCGAATACTTTTTGTCTCACTCTAAAACTACCACGTATCTTTTGCTCAAATAATGACAAGTACAGAAATTCCTTAGCAATCCAGCCATACTTTTTATTTGGCAAAAAATAGCGATAATGTCAGTACACAAAGTGTATGAGCAAGTTGAGTGTGAACATTTCGTCTCTAACGCAATTTTCCAACAAAAATTTCATAAAAATAATTTCAAGTTTTGTTGGTTATGTTTTTACCCTTTCCTTTACTGAACCTTAAAGAATATGCAAAGTACATTTATGCAGTAAAGGAAATGGTGAAAAAATGTGAAGAAATCAATTTTAAGAATTTTTGTTGGAAGAGATGAAAGAGCGTTCGAGACAAAATGTTCACACTCAACTTGCAGTGTACAAAAGTGCAAATTTGTTTTGGTATCATTTGTCATAAGTTGTATAAATGTGTACACATTATCACTGTTTTAGGGCCAAATTAAGAGTATGGCTGGATTGCTAAGGACTTTCTGTACTGATTAGTCGTTATTTGAGCGAGAGGTGCCTAGTAGTTCTTGAGTTAAAGACAAACAAGTATGAGGGGGGGTCTTTTTTGGTTGAGTGTGTACAAGTTTTACCTGCAGGGTGTGGCACATGTACGTGTATATTATGCATAAGGTATGAAGCCCGGGAAGGGTCAGGTTGGAATTTATTTTTTTGGAGTTTGCTAATTCGTTCGCACGAATTACTAATTCGTTCGCACGAATTACTAATTTGTTCGCACGAATTACTAATTCGTTCGCACAAATAAGTAATTCATTTGAACGAATTACTAATTCGTGGGAACGAATTAGTAATTCGTGCCAACGAATTAGGAATTCGTGCGAACGAAATAGCAATTCGTGCGAACGAAATAGCAATTCGTGCGAACGAATTAGTAATTCATGTGAACAAATTAGTAATTCGTGAGAACGAATTAGGAAATTCCAAAGAAAACTTCCACCCTGTCCCTTCCCGGGCTTCATAATAAGGCATACATAGTGGGGCAGCGCGCCAAATATGGGATTGTTTGTGGCAGCTTTTTCATTGGGGATTGTTGATAGAATTTGCATCAAGGTCTGTGAGAGTCAATGGTGGATGACCTGAGAATACAAACCCAATAAATTAAATGGGGTAGTGACGTTGGATCGAGGAATGCTGAACTTGAATAGATTCTAAGCTCTCTGGCTCGCTGTAGGTAAACTATTGGTGAATGTACCATTGTACAATCAACAATATAGTCTGGGTACAATTTATTTCTCATAAACCGATTTTACGCGCTCTATGGCTATTAAATACAAGTGTGTGTTTTTTTGGCTGTTGTTGAGTAACATGTACAGGCTAGGCCACCATGAGTTGAGGCCAAGTAGAATGAGTCCAATTGAGTCTGGTCTTTTTCCAGAAATCCAGCTACATTGTATTCTAGTCAAACATGTCAAAGTTAAATGATTGATTCTAAATAAGCTATTTAAATCCAAGTCCAGATGTACATGTAGGAATGAAATCTTATTCAGACCACATCATGAACTATGAGCAGTGTTCAAGGGACAACATACAGAGAACAGTTCATGTAATTATGACATCCTGCTGCATAGTTTCTTGATAATCTGCAGTGAAATCGTATGATGATGGTTCTATATCAATTTACTTTAAGTTTATTTGAGATGCCTACTGAGCTTGTCACAATTATGTTTAAAAGTGAAGTTAAATTAGAACAATTGTTGAGTGTACTGTGATGTGGGAATATTTTATCCTAATGGCTGAATGGATTTTCTACATATAAGTTATAGTTTAATGAAAAAAGTACATCTATTTTCTATTTTAACTGTGTGCAAATTATAAAAGGCGATGTACATGTACATGTAGGCTGCTAATGCTGTGAGCCAATTTACCAAAGAAAAACATGTTGAGTTTGCCCACGGACCATTGTGGTCCATGGTTTGCCTTAGTATTTTTCACTGAGGTGAGTTCTCCAAATGAAATGAAAAGCACCTGCAATGCATGTAGTTCCACATCGCCATTGTATCTTTTACCTGCAGGGTGTGGTATTTATTATCCATAAGGCATAAGTAGCGGGGCAGCACCAAATATGGGATTGTTTGTGGCAGCTTTTTCATTGGCTATTGTTGACAGAATTTGCATCAAGGTCTGTGAGAGTCAATGGTGGATGACCTGAGAATACAAACCCAATAAATGGGGTAGTGACGTTGGATCGAGGAATGCTGAACTTGAATAGATTCTAAGCTCTCTGGCTCGCTGTAGGTAAACTATTGGGGAATACCCCCGGTACCATTGTACAATCAACAATATAGTCTGGGTATTCAATTTATTTCTCATAAACCAATTGTACATGCTCTATCGCTAATATACAGGTAGAGTGGGTGTTTTTGCTGTTATTGAGTTGAGTAACATGTATACAGGCCAAGGTACTTTTTTGGAGGAGTGGTAATTTCTCTTCGACACAACAAACAAGTTTTGTCTTCACAGATACCAGTAAGGGCTAACATGCATGTCAGGACCCTTAAGAACAGTTCAAATTACTGAAAAGGCTATCCTGCTGAAGTGAAAGCAGTATACTTCAAAAGATTTTACTCTATTCTGTAATTAGGACTTGTTTGATAAAAAAAAGGTTTTAAGCAAAACGGGATGTTTGACAACTTTCAAATTGTAGTTTGTGTTGCATGTTGCCCCGTTGCTCAAAAGGCAGTGAAGCAGTTCCAATTTTCGTGGTAAATACCGACCCACAGGGATCTGACAATTGCCCAGTTCTACTTTAATATCTCTCTGAGCATGACGTCAGTTTCACTATAGATAGAGGCTGGGCGGAAGAGGATCTTTCATTTGATAGTAACAGTGGATCCGTTCTTGTCGATTCTGAACTGTACATTTTCAGTATTGCAATAGATTTCAGGCATGCAACTTTTTTTCAGAGCAGCTGATTTCCTCCTTTTTTTCTCATTTCATTATGCCTCTCAAAATTCGAAAACAAATGTTGGAATTTCCTTTTGCGTGTGGTGAATTTACAGTTGCATGCCTGAGATTAAGTTTGTGGAAGAGATAAAAGCATGATTTATTAGGCGAGCCACAGTACATGTGCATGTGTGAACTGTACTGACAACTCAATGAAAATCCCTTTTATCATCTCGGTGAGTAGAATAAATTCCACCCATTCCTGTGACGTTTAAAACCGGCTGGGAAGACAAGTTTTAAACGGAGTGCACATTTTCTTTGTTTTGATCATAATTGAACCACAGCTGGCCCTGCGTTGATGATTATGAATGTAAGCAATGCCATTTGTGACTGTTGGCAAGGGATGGATGGCCTTTTTTCTTCCTTGGCCCCCACTTACACATTTTGTGTGTGAACACAATGGAGACATCGTACTGTGGAATTCTCTCAATCCATCTCTTAAAAAGGTGTCAAATGTATCATTGTTCAAACGCAAATGTAAAACCCAATTAATTAACAAATATGTGGTAGAATAATCTCATTTTGTAAGACCAAATAATTTTAGTTTTATTTCGTATTACTAGCTCTGTACCAATAGTTTTTGTTATTTAACTCCTATCGTTGTACTTGTACTTGTAATTAATTGTAACTGTCATCGTAATTGTGATTGTAATTGTTCTTTCGACAAGCTGATGCTTTTTGGAGACCTCCATCCATCCATACACAATAACTCAAGTGTTAAGTTATATGTTCATGTGTGTGTTGGGAAAAATTAAAGATTTGATTGATTTGATTGATTGAGTCTGCCATGCAATTTTATACGGAGATGACATGGTATGCTAACATATAGTGGAGTCAAGGTTTAGCAAGTTAATTGGCATGAACAGACGTGGGATACTTTAAGAAAGGTTTCTCTTTGCGGCAATAAATCTTATCAACAGGGATGTTCTGGGCCCTGTTGGAATGAAAACAAAAATGGGGTACTCTGTGTACTATAATAATATGCATATACCGGTACATGTGTACATGCCATAATAATTGATCAAGCCAGCAATTACTATTGTAGGCCCTAATTATTTTACTAATATGAAAGTGAGTTCAGACTCTGCCAAGGATGCTAAGAAGTAGTTTCCTGCATCAAGTCTGTTCACCATTTTCTTGTGACCCTACTTGTATTTCCTTTTGTAGACACCAGTGGGGTATATGGGGGGGGGGGAGGGGGGGGGGGGCTAAATCCTACAACACTTGAGGGTGGGGAGGCGGGTGTGCATGTGGTTGTCCAAAGTTTGATGTGTTGCCATGGTTAATTCCCTTCCAGACAGTTTCTTGTGTTAAATGTACCATCAGCAAATAATGAGTATGGACATTCAGACTCTGATACGGAGCATGGGGGTTAACTAGGAAGGGGAAATATGGGCAGGGATGCCCTTCCCTCAACACTGCTGTTTTAGAGGTATTTAGCACAATGCAGGTTGTAAAAATAGGGTTTAAGTTCCTTCCTACACAAAGTTAACTGTTATGTCTTGATATCCAAACAGTAATGGACGTGTGAACTCCTTCACTGCCACAGTCGGCTACAGAGTAACGCCTTTCATGGGTTAAAGGTGAGTGAATTAATAGACCTGCATGTATTAGACATCATGACGTCACGCTTTGTTTACATGTGTGCTTTCCTATGGGAGCTTGGTGGCTCTCGTGCCCACCTGGCTCCCATAGGAAAGCACACATGTAAATAAAGCATGACGTCAATAGGTCTATTAATGACTGCAATATTTTCCTTTCTGCTGATATTAGGAATGTACATCTTTGTTTAAACCTTTTTGACTGAATGATGTGATTCATAACATAAACTGGGTTTCCAGTTTCAAGTTTTAAGATGCTCAAAGTGAAAACTACTTGGACTTCTATTATTAAGATGGCGTAAAGTTTTGCTAGTCACGTACATGTACATGTACATGTGGCGAGAATTGTTTTCATGGGTGGGGCGTTAACAAAAATGCTGGCCATTTGCAGAGAGCACAATCTGCACGTTGATCATTATCCCCGGCTGTAGCCCCGTCCCTTCTTTCCCCTCCCTCATCCCAGCCCTATTTTGTAGGGGGGGGGGGATGTTTGAACCCCCGTCCCCCTGATGCTATACTACTAAAAGTGCCAGCTTAAACCAACTGACCGATTGACCGAACAACCGTACTTACCAGCGCTACTTGTGGCGTACTGCACACAAAGGGAACAAAGATGCCAACTCGTTACCCACAATTTTTCCTTTGAAAAACTGTACCACAGAAGTGAATTCTAAAGAAAAGGGATAAAAGCCCAACAATGCAAGTACCCCAGGATTGCCATCTGCTGGGATAAACAACTGACTAACCGACCGACCAACTGACCAACTTGACCATCACTGACCATCACTTGACCAACCGACCAAATAACCTACTGACAGACTGACTGACCGACCGACCAACTGACTGGCCGACTGACGGACCAACCGACAAAGTGACCAATCGATCAACTAACCGACCAACCAACCTCCCAACTGACAGAGCAACCGACTGACCGACAGAGCAACTGACCGACCTACCAACAGACTGACTGGATGACTGACCGACTTGGTGACCGACCGACCAAACTGACCAACAGAGCAAACGACTGACTGATTGACCGTCTGACCAACCAATCAACCGACAGACTGACCAACTGACAGAGCAACCTATTGATCGACTGAATGACAGATCGACCAACCCACTGCCTGACCAACGGACTGCCCGACCAACTGACATAGTAACCAACTGATCGACCAACAGACCGATTGACTGACCAATAGCATCCATTTTGTGATTTTACCTGATTGAAATTTGCACTCACAGGATTATTACCGGGGTTGGACTAACGAAGCTGTCTGCAAATAAACTATGCTCGTGTCAGAGGCACTGAATGGTAAAATGGACAAAAGGAAGGCTTCCAAGCATCAGCCAGAACCAACAGCAAAGAGAGTCCGAAGAGACAATGAGACACAAACGCCACGGACACAAACTAACCCTGGTCCAAGCACAGCACCAGACACGCAGGCAGCTCCAACTCAACAACTACCGGCTGATGGAGCGAGGGATGACCAACAAACGACTCGGCAGGAACCGCAGGCAGGGCCTTCTCAGCAGGAACCAACGCCACAACCACCCCCACAACTACAGCCAGGACCAGGTGAGACACAAACTTTTCCTGTAAACCCTGCATTCTACTGCGTTCTACTTAGCTGTAGAGTATTAATACATATGCATTATTCCCTGGAGGGCGCCGGCCATACGCTAAGATTTATTACCCTTAGTACCTTGGGGCCCGCCCACCATACTTTCTCTTTTCTCTTAGCGGTGTTGTGTGAAAGACGTGTATTTACAGAGCTCTCGCTTTGTAAATTTTTCCTCAGCCAATTTTTATACTAAGTTCATAGTTTATTCTTCTATTATTGTTTCTACACAAGTTGAGTGAGTTTTTGTGACATCAGGTTGGTTTTTCGTGATATTTCTTGGTCATTATGGTCATTACGGTCCCTCACTCCGGTTACACGGTTCTTATGAGACCTTGTGCATGAGGCATTGCACAGGCTGCAAGTAGTGCATGCCGTACACACCGAGCGAGGCTTTGCACAGCCTGCAAGTAGCTTACTTCGTATGGAGCAAGTGTGGCCTTACCCAGGCTGCCGGCTACTCACTAGTATAAGCTCGTACCTCACAACCGTTTGACCGTGAGGCTTTTCAGGCTGAAAGTCACTCACGCCGTACCGAACGGACAAGGCTTTGCAGGGGGGAGCGTCACACGAATTGCACGCTGCTCACCCGACTCTATGCTTCTACTTACCGACCAGTCAGCGTGATACTCGCTTTTTAAATAATCCCTCACACTGCACCCAATATTTGGTGTTTTCGTTTTCAAAACAAATGGCGTTATTTAACCGGCGATACCCTGTTATTTAACTGGCAGTTTTTCATTGTCTCACGGCAGTGTTGCTGTACCGAGCGAGTGAGACTTTACATGGGACAAGTGTCGCACGAGTTGCAAGCCACTCCCCTCCCCCCTCTCCAGTCGTGTCGGCGTTCCTGTCAACTTGCCGTCTGAACCTTCAAATGAGGATCCCGACATTGCCTCTTCTCACTCGCCTTGGGAAGCCGATAAAGAAGAGGACACAACTATACCATCCTCCATTGCCACGCTTTATCGCCTGGTACAAGGAGACATGGTGTATGTATTGGGGTTTCCCTGAACCTGTAAAGCCCTCATCTTCTACACAACTGGAATCGTTCAAACGACTTACGGCTCCTGACTTACAAGTCACCCCCGATCACACCCCAGGTGGTTCCCTTCAATCAGGTTTGCTCTCAAGAGATTCGGTCTGTGTTTGACCAACCCGAAGTGCGTCGTCCCACTCGTTGCCCGAGTTTGTACTCCTTCCCAGCAGACGAGACGACCCAGTACCTTACCACGCCTACCATTGCTGACGACGTGCTCGCTAAACTGGCTTCCAACTCATCAGGTCATTGGGCCATCATTGGTCATTGGGCCTCGACTACATCCTTGTTTTGAGACACTGCTCAGAACCGTAATGAGAAGGCGCTTCAGAATATTGACTGCGCCTCTCGTCTGGGTGTCACCCATACAACGTTTTCGCTCCTGCTGTCCGACTATTTATTTCAGGGATGTCAAGCTGATTCAACCATCCCAACAGACATGCTAGGCTCCAACTTTCGCTGTCTGGACCACTCACTTCTGGTAGTTCTCAGTGAAGTAATACTCGCATTTGTCGTCACAGCATAGAGACACGCTAGACAGCAATTCTTGATGCCATATTCCTGCCCATCGATGGAGCTCCTAACTGTCTCGAATCCCTTTCCTTCCAAGGACAAGAACTCTTTGCAGACCAGTTTCAGATTCGAATGCAGGCTGAAGCTGATTGTATCAAGGCTACGGAGAAGATTAATTTGGCGAAGGTTCATCCCAAACCACCTCCCCAGCCCCGTTGAGTATTACCTGCAGCCAGAGGCCGGGGCTCCCAGCAGTGCTCACTGGCTACTGGCTCTTCTTTTCAAGCCTCCCAGCCGTTCAGACCCAGTTGTCCTCCGCCACAGCCATCAAGCCGTAGTTTTTGTTCCACTGCTCGACGTCCTGCAAATACACGAACCACCTCCCGCCCTTCAGCCTCGACCACTGCCCCCCGGCAGCAGTTCGGCTGATGGAAGTGTCTATGCTCACCAACGACGGGCTCCATCACAGGACCTGTGGGAGCCCGTTTGGCCCATTTTGTTGGGTCCTGGGACCAAATCACTTCCGACCAGTGGGTACTTGCCACCATCTCACTCAGCTACAGCCTAGAGTTCACGAGTGCCCCTTTGTCGGACACACATGCCCGCTCGCCGGACTCGACCGCCCGGCGATTCACTCAAACGCCAAGCGCTCGAGGACGAAATAGCAGCATTGCTAACAAAGAACACTATCAGGATTTTACAAACCCGAGAAGAAGATTCTCAGGGGTTCCATTCAACGTCCACCGTCAAGGTCTACAGGTGTTCATGTACCTAGACGACTGGGTCATCATCGGCAAATCGTAGGCAGCAGCTGCAGTCCATCAAAAAAACCCCAGGCCTTCCTTGCGGAAGGCCTGGGTTTTCTCATCAACGAGTCCAAATCCAAGATAATCCCATCTCAACGGCCCACATACCTAGGTGCTGTCCTCGATCTACAAAGGGGCACGGCTTACCTGACGCAAGAGCGAATCGACAATGTTTGTCAATGCATTTTTCAATGTCAATGTCCCACCCCGTAACCAAGGTGGTACCGTGTTCATTGCATATTCGGCCACATCTCTGGTGGTGAACCCAACCGGACAACCTCAATCAGGGCCTTTCCTTCCAGCCCCCAATACGAATACCATAACTTGACCTGAATTTTGACCTGAACGTTTCATGTTTTTTAAGCCCTCAAAATAGTCTTGACCCTACACCTGACCGTGTAAATTACCATTTATTTATGATGGAGAAAACAGGTTTAATGAAGAATTTCACTATTGAGACATGCGACCTCCGAAACACTGTTAACTGAATGAACTGAATTATTAAGCCCTTTGTTGGCCCTCTCCTAATTTATTAGTACCTCTTTTCACAGTGCAGTGGTATTTACTCTGTAAAGGCAAATGCATAAAAAAGTTCACATTATTTTATTTCAGAAAGAAAATTGGATGTTGAGCCTCCCCACGCTTCAGGTGAGTGACACAGCCTTTTTTCAGGACAGCTCGGGTCATGAAAAAAAAAATTCTGAAACTTGGTACATGCATCCTGAAAATATGAACATACCCAAGAAATTTATGACTAAAGGTCAAAGGGTTTTGGAATATTGGCTAATTAATTATATATATGCACCAATGGTATTTCTGCTTTGTGTACACTACGTATATGGGGAAGTTCAGGTTTCACAGTGCGTTGCGCTGGAAATGTTTTCGTTGAACAGCAACCCGTAGTCTGAATTTCATGTTTTAGGTATCGAGACACAGCAATCAATAACAATCAGAATGAGAATTTGTTTATTTTTTGTTTTCTGTCCAGCAACATTGACGAAAAAGTTGTTTTTTTTGTCTTTGATTTTTTTAAGCAGATTTGTAAAGAAATTCACTAGAGTGAAATTTGAACAGACAACCTCTGAATCACCGTTCCAGTGCTCTGTTAACTGACCTATTTAGCCATATTTTGCGTTCTTCTGATTTGTATGCCTCTTTTCACAGTGCAGTGTTATTTTTACTGTGAAGGCAAATGCAGGTACATTTCATATTATTTTCTTTTTAGAAACAAACTTGGATAAAGAGCATCCCGAACTTCCAGGTAAGGCCGAAAAAAAATACTTCTGCTTCCGATTACATGCCTTTCAAAAATAGGGTCGATCGGTCGGAAAAAAAAATGTTGCCAAATTTTTTTTATGCAGATTGAATGGGGTATTCAATTATATGCAAAGTTTTAGACTGAACTATTTCCATTGCACTAAGAAAGCTAAACACAAAATGGCCACAAAAAGTGAATAAAACCTACTTTAATTATTGTCAACATATTTACGTTTGATAATTCTTAAAAAATCATGAAAAATGCAGGTCGTTCGCACCATATGCACAACGCTAGTCAAGACGGGAAACTGGCCAAAACTCCGAAGTGTGCGATGCACTGTGCATGTGTGGCGCGTGGCCAACAGACCTCGTTTTTACGGTCGAAAATTTCGGGAAACACGCTGCATTGTATCACTCCAAATACGAGCAGTGCGATCTCAAAATGAACTCTTGAACAGGGAAAATACATACACAGATATAAAGCTAGATCAATTCTGTGAATTAAGTTGCAAAAATGTTCTTTCACCATCGGTGTTTTCTTGGCATTTTTACGATGTCGAATCCAACCAGTTGACAGTGCACATGCCTGCAATGCATAGCCATGCTAGCACTATCGATCACATAGCCGTGCACAGACCACAGACTGGTTACCGCATTTTCATCATGTCTTCTAAATTGGCCCCTGTGCGGCGCGGCGGGAACCAGTCGTCGTCACATTGAGCTAGGTTTACGCACGTGATTATAGTCGGAAAGATTTCCATATACGAAGTTCATTCAACACCCTGTGTACAAACCCTATGAGATTGGACTGAAAAATTCTAAGTGTTTTCTAAGAAAATGCTTGTATTTTCTCACTGCTCAAATTGACTTTGATGACATGAAATTGCTATCTGGGGGCTTGTTAGTCAATACAGAGGAAAATTAGTGAACTTCGTATATATCGAAATTTTTCCTTATAGTCATCGTGACATAGAATTGCGAAGCAGTTATATCGCGAAGCAAATTTGTAAAAATAACGGAGGTCTCTTTTGAAAAAAACCCCTGAATGTTAGTAAGAAAACAAATAAATACAAGCATTGTTGTGACGCGAAAGGGTTGTTGAGAGGTATTTTGTGAAGACAGAAAAGACAACAGGTTTTTATTTTTATTTATTCAATCTTTTTTTTTTGGGGGGGGGGGGAATTGCCGATAACATTTTTAGGGTCGCATCCTAAAAAATAGGGTCGGTCGGGTAACCGGAAGCAGAAGTATTATTTTTTTTGGCCTAAGTTAAAAAGCCTAATAAAGTACTTCTTAACTTTCCGTTTTGCCGGATAAAACGTTTTATGAGTGGACAAAGGCTGATTGGACACTAATAAGTATTACATTTTTCATAATGTCTACACAAGAAACAAACACTGCATGTGCACCAACTTATCACCGTGATTCAGCGTTCTTCTCTTCTGATCTGAGACAGAGAGAATCAATGGAATCAGAAAGAGAATTGCATAAGTGTCCAAAGTTGCCACATGTGCTGAACATAAGTGTAAGCTTTGTTTACAATAAACAGCTGTTGAACAAAGTAATAAACATCACAAAGTTTTTGTACAGAAACGTTGTTTACTGTATTAAATAGATTTGTGTCTGTTTGCAGGTATCAGTGACACCATTCTACGCAAGATCTCTGAAAGGCTTGGCTCTGAATGGCAGAGGCTGGCTACACATCTCGGTTTAAGCGCTGCAGAGATCGAGCACATCTTGATGGATGACCCAGGCCAGACGGAGAACCAGATCTTCAACATGCTGGCTGAATGGAGGCGCAAACAAAGGGACGTGTTATGTGCAGCTCTGATGAAGATCGGCAAAACAGACATAGTCGAAGACTTGAAAGGTAGGTCTCAAAATGAACCACATCAATTGTTATTTTCATGACATTAGTAGCCATGGTACAGATAATTGCATGACGAGGCAAAACACCGTTTTTTATGGCCATCGAAATAGCTGGGTGTGCTATTATAAAAGGAACCCATGGGCGGATCCAGGGGGGGCCAAAGGGGGCCATGGCCCCCCCCCCCAAAAAAAAAAACGAAACCAATATTTTTTTTTTGTATGTGACATCGCAATAAAGGGAGGCAATGAGTACACCACCATCTTTTCCTCTAAAAAACATTGGTTAAAGTGGTCAGAACTTGCCTCAGATTGCACCACAGAGCATCTAGAATCCAAAAAATATTCGGGGCCCTTAAGCGGGCCCCCGAACCCCACGCCATAATTTCTTGACCCATTTTTTGGGGGGAACAAACATTTTTTTGGCCCCCCCCAAAAAATTGTGTTACTACTACCTACTACAGTATACCTGAAATTAATAAAACACATTTGTTACCGTTTGTTCAAGGCTAACATCTCTATTACTTACCAAATTTTGATCCTAATAAGGACATTTGAAAGGGAACACCAAATAAATTTCAACTTAAAAAGAAATTGTGATGTACGTAAATTTCAATAGGCGTAAATGATTATCAGTATTGACATCAATTTTGAATAATTTTGACCTTAACAGTTCATATTTTTAGCCCTAAAACTTGTCATCACCCTACACGTGACCTTGTGCACACCTGTGCACTTATTAACCCTTTTCGTTCTAGTGACTGTCCCTATATTTATGTGTCTAAATTTTTTATAATTGGTCGCTATACTAATTACAAAGGCATTTCTAGAAAGGTTGAAATCTTTTTGCTTCCTCAGTGATCGAGTTAATGGTTGGAATAGCATGAGATTTCCATTACAGAAAATACCTCACCTCTGTTTACCTACATTTGCATATCAGCGCGCATGCGCACAAACGTTCGCTGAAAAGAATAGCGCCCAAGCCACACCCTCATTGTCCACTGCATGCCCCACGCCCACAAAGGACCCTGTAACGTAATAGCTCGTCCTAGTTTTTTCAGCGACGCGTAGTGTAAAGACGTACAATATTTAGCTGTTCTCGCTGTGATTACAATATGGCGGACTCCGCCAAAACCAAAAGAAAACTGTCTCAAGCCGTTCTACCGGAAAGTCACCCTCTACTCAATCCAAGCGTGATAATTCCTCTGCTACGACTGGGTCCAACCTCCCGGGTTCGGCAGTTGGAATTTCTCCAGGGTCAAAGAATTCTCCAATGAGAATTACGGCCACTCCCCGACAAATCCCGCATTCTTACGGCAGTCTGCAGGAGCACATGCACGCTTCGGAACAACAAGTCGACTCGCATGTGCAGGCGGGACGGCGGGGCTTGGCGTTCGAAACCCAAAGGTCTCTCGGTAATCCGACCAGCCCCGCCAGGTCACAGAGGCTTGGGGCACCACCACCACCACCATCTTCAGTCAGCCATACTACGGGTTCGTATTTTCAACCTAGTTTTACAAGCGAATCTCGGCGAGATTTTCTTCATCATTCGGAGCCTCACAGTACGTGGTCCTTTTTCCCGAACGATCCTCGTCACTTCGACCACAATACTCGCACTACGTATCCACTCAGTGTTTCAGCCTACGACCCACGGGTTTATCCCCAGACTTTTCCGATGGGATTTTCACACCATTACACGCCTTATCAGGGTAATTCTTCTCCGCGAGATCATGGTGTACCTTTCACAGGACACAGACTCCGTTCTACGCAACGCTTCGGTGAACACACCAGCCGGGCGGGGAGAGAACGCCGCGATTCATGGCGCCGTTCCCGGTCTCGTGCGCGGTCCCGCTCGGACTCCGACGATCGACATCGGCGATTACTCACGGTCGGATTCTGGTCATCGAAGCCGACACTCACATTCTAGATCTCCTTCAAGGTCTTCTTTTTCCTCGGGCCAGACAGTGGCGAAGATACTCTCTCAAATGTCCAACGGGCTATTACGATGACGGAAGTGGGTAAGATCCTTCAGTTTCCACCCCCTTCCCCAGGCGAATCTACTCGACCTTCATATCGCAGAGATTCTGGTACTTGTAAATCTAAGCCTTCGCAGCCCATTTTTCCTATTGATAGAATGTGTGCTGACTCTATGAATGAGTCCCTTAGTCAGGTGCAAAACAAGCAATCTCTCTCTTGGGGACCGAGCAGGTTTGCAGGCATGTTCAACACCAATAAAGTGGACACTGATAGATTTGTTTCTACCCCTTCCTTGTCTTCTGAGGCCAAAGACTTGCTGAGACGTGAAAATCTGCAATCTAATAAGCAAACTTTTGATGCTAAGACGAAAGCACTTGACAAAAGACTTGCCTACTTGGATAGCCATCTGCATCAAGGGGCCAAAGTGGCCTCTTTCTCCATCCTGTTATCGGATACCCTTGCTCGATGTTATGGAGATCCTTCCTTGTGTGAGCCTTATAAGATACCTGAACTGTTCCATTTCTTGGATGATTGTCTGAGTTTTTGCCTCAAGGAATTTAGTTTGGGTTTTGCTTCAACTTCGTTGCTGTGACGCTCCCTTGTTGTAGACAAGTTGTTTCTCCCTTCACTTGGGGCAAAGGATCGCATGCTAGACCTTCCCCTGGCTGGGCGTGATCTCTTTGACAACAGGTTCGACGAGACTATGTTACATGAAGCCAAACGCCTCAAAGCTGAAGACAAGTTCGATCTTCGTCGGCGTTCAGCCTAACGCCCCTCTACATTTGTCCCCAGTCAGCCCAGCAAGAAGAATCAACGCCCGTTTTCTACCGACAAGGGCTCCAACCAGTCCAAGTTTCAGGGGCATCAGGCTTCTTCGTCTTCCTCCCGCTACACCAGGAGACAGCCCCCCAGATATTCGCGTCCCTTCAAGTCCCTGGGGTCGCGAGGTAACAAGGGCCTCTGACTACAACACAGTTTTCATCCCTCCAGCTTCGGGTCCAGTAGGTGGTCGTCTTGGGGAGTTCAGTCAGATATGGTCTCACGTAACCTCGGACATTTGGGTTCTTCAAACCATCTCGACAGGGTACCGTCTGGAATTCACCAGCAACCCTCCTCTACAACCTCCAAGACGACCAACTCCTGTTCCCTCAGATCCTGCACGCCGGGCGGCGTTGGAGAAGGAAATCATCTCTCTGAAAGACAAGAACGCCATCATTCTGCTTCCAACGGGGTCCACTCTTGGCGTCACTTCAACCTTTTTCCTTGCGCCGAAGAAGTCGGGCGATTGGCGACCCATCATCAACCTACGACCTCTCAACAGTTACAGCAAACCCAAACACTTCCGCATGGAGACTCTTTCCACGGTCCTCCAGTCCCTGTAAAGTAATTGGAGGGCTACTTCCATCGATCTGAAGGATGCCTACCTTCATGTACCTATCCACGCAGATCATCAGAAGTTTCTCCAGTTTCTATACCAGGGTTCCGGGTACCAAATTCGTTGCCTACCGTTCGGCCTCTCCACAGCCCCTCGGGTCTTTACAAGAATAGCCAAAGCAGTAGCAGCTTTCTTGCGTCAAAAAACAGATCCACATATTCCTGTATCTGGACGATTGGCTCATAGTAGGTCCGACCTTCCAGGACACGGTAGATGCCCTCCGACAGACCGTTCAACTTACTCTCAATCTCGGCTTCATCATCAATGTCGAAAAGTCGTCTCTGATTCCAACTCAACAACCGACCTATCTTGGAGCAGTTCTAGACATGACAACAGGCAGAGCGATGCCATCGGGGGAAAGATGTCAGACACTCTGGGATTACATCGGAATTTTCAGGTCATCTCCAATCCTCCCAGCCAAAGCTTGGCTCCACCTTCTGGGCCTCATGGCAAGTCTTGTCGACTCGGTTCCCTGGTGCAGGACGCACATGCGTCCCTTACAGCTTCATCTCCTGTACCACTTTCGCCCTCACAAGGATCCTCTATCAAAGATGGTTCCAGTAACTCACTTAATTATCGACAAGCTACAGTGGTGGCTAGCTCCGGACAATCTCCTATGTGGAGTCGTGTTCCCTCGCCCCTCTCCAGCAGCTATCCTCACAACAGATGCTTCAACTCTGGGTTGGGGAGCTCACTTAGACTATCTATCACGGGCCGGCACATGGTCGATGGAAGAGAGTCTACTTCACATCAATCACCTAGAACTCCTGGCAGTGTACAAGGCTTTACGTTCCCTAGAGTCCGAAGTCCTCAACAAATTAGTCGTAGTCAAGTCAGACAATTCCACGGTAGTGTCTTACATCAACCGTCAGGGGGGAACTCACTCTCCGTCTCTCTGCCTAGCCACTTGGGAGCTACTCAGCTGGTGCATTCCTCATCAAATATCTCTTCAAGCAACCCATCTGGCCGGGAAGAAGAATATCCTCGCCGACGCCCTTTCCAGGGGTCGCATCTCTCCGACAGAATGGTCTCTCCACCCTCCTGTAGTCAAACACATCTTCAACGTACTCGGAACTCCACATGTGGACCTATTCGCATCTCACCTGAACAACCAGCTTCCAACCTTTTGCACCCGTCACACTCATCCTCTGGCGTGGAAGGTAGATGCCCTCAGCTTCGACTGGTCAGGAATGCATGCTTATGCCTTCCCCCTGATCTCTCTCATTCAACGGGTCCTGACAAAGATAGAGACAGAGCTATCCAGAGTAGTCCTCATAGCTCCCTTTTGGCCAAGACAGCCATGGTTTCCTCGCCTTCTGGATCTCCTGGTTCACTCGCCCCTCATACTTTCCAACCGGCCAGACCTCCTGTCACGACCCGCGTCTCACATTCTGCATCCGGATCCATCCACTCTCCATCTTTGTGCCTGGATGCTCTCAAAGTCTCCTTCCAATCAGCTGGACTTTCAGAGGAAGCTACGTCCTTGGCAACCAAGAGCAGACGGAGATCCACCAGAAGAACTTATGATAGTAGACTTCTCCACTTCACCAAATGGTGCGAGGAGAGAGCTGTCAATCCCCGTTCTGCATCTGTTACCTCGATTGGGGATTTCTTTCTTCACCTTTTTAATTCAGGCCTTCAAATTTCAACAATTAAGGGCTACAGGTCAGCTATTGGTGTCCTTCATCAGGGTTTCCATGATGGCACAACAACTTCATCCAATACATCAATTTCTCACATGATTCGCGGTATGTTTAATGATCGGCCTCCTACCAGGAAGCTGATACCATCATGGGATCTGGGCACCGTCCTGTTATCTCTCTCCAAACTTCCGTTTGAACCAGCAGGTAATTCGTCCCTTCATCATCTTACAGTTAAAACCACATTTTTACTGGCTGCAGCTACAGCTCACCGCAGAAGCGAACTCCATGCTCTGTCAGTGGAACCGGGCCATATTCGATGGGAACCTGGCGGTGTACGACTAATTCCAAGGGTAGGTTTTCTCACCAAGAATCAATCAATGGGTTTCTCACCACCCGACATATTTGTACCAAGTTTGACATCGTTCTCTTCAGTAGCAGAGGATAAATGGTGGTGCCCCGTGCGAGCGCTCAAGTACTACATTGCTCGCACCAAGCCCCTCAGAGGAGACATCAAGCAACTGTTTATTACGATCATCCAGCCTCATCACAAAGCCTCTGTAACCACGATCGCTCGATGGATTTCGGTGACCATACAATGCAATCCCGAACATCGAGGATCGAAATCAGGAGCCCACGAGACACGCAGCATGTCGACTTCATGGGCCCATCTGCTTGGAGTTCCTCTTTCAGAGATTATGAAAGCGGCCTGCTGGAAAAATCCTTTGACTTTCACATCATGCTACCTGAAGGATGTCGTGCAATCGGAGGGACACATGGGCAAGAAAGTCCTCCAAGAAACAGCACGATCAGCAGCCCGCTCAGCCCGCACAGCTCCTTCGAATTAGATAGGCAGCTCCCGGGTATGTCTAGACAACCTTTGCATGTTATTTAGAATTGCATGTAGGCCTAGTTTAGACTTTCAAGTACCACTGCATGTCCCTCCTCCCCCCCCCCCCCTTGAGACTTTCGGTGCCACTCTGCAAATGTAGGTAAACAGAGGTGAGGTATTTTCTGTAATGGAATTCCTAAAATCCAAAGGGATTTTCCATTCTAGTAAGAAAATACTCACCTTTGTTTACCATCCCTCCCTTTAAAAAAAAAGAAAAACTAGGACGAGCTATTACGTTACAGGGTCCTTTGTGGGCGTGGGGCATGCAGTGGACAATGAGGGTGTGGCTTGGGCGCTATTCTTTTCAGCGAACGTTTGTGCGCATGCGCGCTGATATGCAAATGTAGGTAAACAGAGGTGAGTATTTTCTTACTAGAATGGAAAATCCCTTTGGATTTTAGGAAATATCTGGGATTGTACTGGGTGACCCCTCCCCGCCCCAATAAAAATGCAACACTAAAACATTGGCCTTTAAAAAAAAGGGATCGATTGATTTTTTTTTGTGTATCAGATTAAAGCTGAGAGCTTTTTCTTTCAAATACTGGAAAAAAATCATGAAAATAGCACTTTGGGTTGCTGAGAAAATGCCAATTATGTAAAAGTAGTCGTTTTTCATCCTGTACACAAGTACTTCAAACAGTGAAACATTTGACTATAAGACTACTGTGCAATTATCTTTCATTTGTGCAATGTCTTTACTCTTTAATATAGGTTTTCCCGGCTATTTTAACACTTGGAGCACACGAATTCCCTATATCGATACTTCAATTTGGTCCCCGAACATCGCCATGCTCAATTCTCAATTTGAATTTCAAAAAGCCACCACTAGATTTCATTTAAGGTTCAGTATGGTTCAAATTGTTAGCATTCCGATTCGTCCAAAATCTTCGAAATTCGTCTCGTGAAGCCATTGGCGTTGAATTGACAAAGTAAATTCGTTTTTTGTCATTGGTTTTCATGCTCTTGTCATTACATTTTGTCCCTGGTGACTTAAATCTTATACGATTAGAAAATGCCTATATTTTAACATATTTATGATGCTGAAAAGGTTTAAAATAGTACTAAAAAGGATGAGATACCTGTTCAGGTGGAAAATAATTAAAAGGTATTTCCATCAAATTCATTTGCACTCTTGTCATATTATGTGCCGTTTTCGTGTATAAGGATTAGGACATGCACAAATAGGTACAGTGAAAATCCCTTACTGTGGTAATGTTTGTGTACAGGTTGCAAAATGACTATGTTTACATAATTAGCATTTTCTCAACAACCGAAAGTGCTATTTTCATGATTTTTTCAGCATTTGAAAGAAAACGCTCTCTGCTTTAATTTGATACCCAAATTTTTTAAATCCATTGATCGTTTTTTTTTTAGGCAAATTTTTTGGGGTTGCATTTTGTTGGTGTCACCTTGTATAATTCTCATGTTTAGTCAGATCTTAAAGATCGCCTGATCTTTCTTTTTAAACGGCAAGGGGTTAGCACTTAATTAGATTGAAAATGTAAACACACAGTCGGAAGAACCATTGCAAGGTATAGACCATTGCCAGCATGCTATCCCTATACACAGTTAGTCACACTCAATGGCGAAAGTGCTGTGCTAGTTATTGTACCAATCAACTTGCCCATATAAGAGGGCCGGGTTATTTTGACCATCTCTCAGCCGGGGGGGGGGGGGGGAATTCCCCAAGATCTCGGCCATCGAGTGACGAAAAACTTTGAAACTTGGTACATGCAAAAAGCAACTCATCATATACACACCCAAAACATTTCATGCCTATAAGTGAAAGGGTTTTGGAATTATGGCTAATGAATTATTCATATAGGTAATTCTGCTCTGTGTACATGACGTATATGGGAAAATTTAGTTTTCACGGCGCAGAAAATTTTGTGTGTTAACCCGTGTTCCGATTTTTATATTTTTGAAATCAAAAGATGCGCAAGGCTCGAGGCTAAAAAGTCATAACAGCATTTTCAAGGCTATCGCGGAAAAAGTCGAGGGGGGGAGGATTCCACCCCCGGCCCTTTTAGGGTTAACTGAACAGTAAACTGGCCCAATGCTTTTACCTTTGAAGCCTAATCGGAACACACTAGAGATCTTCTGGTAATAATTGTTTTTACCTTATAAATTGATTCCTGTCTGTTACCAGATTTAAGTGACCCTGTTCTACGCATGATCTCTGAGAAGCTTGGCTACGTATGGCGTAAGCTGGCTACACATCTCAGTTTAAGCGCTGCAGAGATCGACTGCATTGTGATGGATGACCCAGGCCAGACAGAGAACCAGATCTTAAACATGCTGGTTGAATGGAGGCGCAAACAAAGGGAAGTGTTATGCACAGCTCTGATGGAGATCGGCAGAAGGGACATAGCTGAAGACCTGATAGGTAGGTATCAGAATGAACCACATCAATTGTTTTTTTCTTGACATTAGTAGTCTTGATGAATATGATGAGGCAAAACATTGCTTTTTATGGCCATCAAAATAGCTAGCAGGGTGACCGTTTTAGCTGATTTTCAGCTAACTTTTACAGACTTTTTATTCAAAACGAGTTTGACAGAAAATTTGACAGAATGGATTTTTTTGGGCAGATTTCTGGCAGAATTCTGCAAAAATGGAAATTTTAATTTTTTTTTAGTAAATTCGTTTAAAAAAGCTTCAACCTTTTATTATTATTATTATTATTTAATTGGCATTAAAAAACACACACAAGCAACAAACTTTCACAAAAATAAATAAAAAACCAAGAAAACAAAAATGAAAGCCAGGGGCATATGCCTGGAATTAAAAAAGTTTACCTAAAAACTGTGGCCCGAAGGCCTTCAATTCCAATACCTCTTGCTACACAAAGAAATATATAAATATATAAAAATATATTAACAATAAAAACAAACCCTTGCTTATCAAATGGGACAGGGTGGCTGGTCTCCAGGTGCTGAGGTTCATTGGGAACAGGACTTATGTCGTGACGCAAAAGCAACCGCGTTTTACCTGAAATTTAAGCAATTTCATAACATCTAAGTTATGTGACTATAGATTGTTATGTGACTATAGATATTAAAGGGAAAATACAACATTTGCAAACATCAAAAATAAAACTACCAAATCATTTTGAAATACCTTGCTGGACTGTTAGTGAATGACAGTGTAAAGCATCCTGTAAAATCATGGCACCTGGTATACTGTCATTTTCAAGAAAAGGGGTATTTTTGTATCAATTTCCAATGGAAAAAACTGTTTTTTTTTCAAATACTGGCCCCAATTGACCATCGCACTTGTTTGCAATCGATTACAAACCTGTGAATGGGTACGAGCCAGCTTGACTGGTTCCCTGACCTTACAATTCCCCAATGTATGTAAACTGCTCTGTTTCTTCTTATATGGAGTCAGGGAACCAGACTACAGGAAAATGATCGTTTTTCTTGGTTTTTATAGCATTTTTGAACCCAAAACCTTAAAAAAGTCAGTGTGACTATATTTGCTATATATTTCCAACCCCCCAATTACAGCGAATATACATCATTTGTTTTTGCTGTAATTTTCAGAAATGGATGGAATTGGGGGGTTGGAAATATATAGCAAATAGTTACACTGACTTTTTTTAGGTTCGAAAATGCTATAAAAACCAAGAAAAACGATCATTTTCCTGTAGTCTGGTTCCCCGACTCCATATAAGAAGAAACAGAGCAGTTTACATACATTGGGGAATTGTAAGGTCAGGGAACCAGTCTTGCTGGCTTGTACCCATTCATAGGTGTGTAATCGATTGCAAACAAGTGCGATGGTCAATTGGGGCCAGTATTTGAAAAAAAACCATTTTTTTCCAACGCTGGTCGGCCGACCAGCATTGGAAATTGATACAAAATACCCCTTTTCTTGAAAATGACAGTATACCAGGTGCCATGATTTTACAGGATGCTTTACACTGTCATTCACTAACAGTCCAGCAAGGTATTTCAAAATGATTTGGTAGTTTTATTTTTTGATGTTTGCAAATGCTGTAGTTTCCCTTTAAGGCAATACTACAACATCTCATGTGATTTTAAGTGTTTATAGTGTATTTCGAGTACTTCCAAGGAATTTGGCAGATTTTTGATGAATCTGACAGATTTTTGAATTGCATTGATCAGAATTTGGCCATGACCTTACGGTAACCCTGTTAGCTAGATGTGCTTATTTTATCCCATGGAGAAACTGTATTACTTTAAAAGCGCCATGACATGAATTTTACTTGGGAACATATTTTGTGCACCGTGCTATTCCTCTTAAATGTATGAAAACTATTTGACATCCTTTTGGTTACATTTGGTGAAAAGTGCACTTCTTAAACATTGATTTATAATGTTCCCTGCTTTTCAAGACAACTGAGGGTGCTGTTGCTGTGATGTCATTTAGTACTAATCTTGTCATTTCAGGAAGACACTGTTCAATTTACAGGTTTTCTCTTCAAATTGTGAACGCAATATTTGGTCATTGAAAATATTTGTATGAAAACTTTGTTCATTGGCCTCCTGTCATGTACTGAAACATCAACGAATCACCAAAGGAAACAAAATTGACAACATCAAAATTTCAAAAATTCTGGCAAATCTGGGTGCTGAAATAGCTGTAACATTGAATTTTCTGCCTGAAAAGACATCACTTTTTTGCTCATGACTATGCAAGTTTTGATCGGATGAAAACCAAAACTGCACTAAAATGCCCTTCAAAATGGCAAAATGAAAGTGGAAGGTATAAGTTTGAATGGGACTCAAAGGTGCCTTTACAAGGATTGCATTGAAATAATTACATTACCTATAGACCTGGTATGAAAAGGGCTTCCCGGTACTTCCGCCGGTCTGTAGCTCATCCGGTCTTCAGCCCAGTCGCATCCGGTACATAGGACTGTCCGACCTGAAGCTTAAAAGTCAGTAGGGCGTGTCAATTTATTGCCCCTTGCAGAACACAAGACGACTTACAGACTTGTGGCCAGAGATTACCTAACTGTTCATGTGCAGGTATTGGGGCTCTATTGTTTCGCTCTGGAGATTAATGCTTCCAATTTACACTTTTACAGTGTGCCCAACCACATGGCACAGCTTTTGATCTGTGAAGGGGCTCTTTTGTTTCATATGAAAACCACAAGTGGGCTTTTTCTGGGATAGATTACATGCACATGTGTCAGCACTTGCAAACAAAAGACCCCAGGATGGGAGAGTTCATGATCAGCCACCAGATCAGCCTCCTACGCTGGTACAATGTAGCTGGTCTGGTAAGAGAGGGCTTTTTGCTATCGGGCGAGCTTACCAGGGCCCTTTTCAAACCAGCTCTGAATGGTCACCGGCCCTTAATAAAACACTTTTGTTAATATGAAATTACTGTCTGTTTAATACAACTTCTTTGTTATTAACCAACTTTTGGTCCTAGAACATTTGAAGGGAAAACACATAATCGTCAAATAAATAAAAATAACAAAAAAAAAGGATATGTATATTTCAATATATGAATATCCATATTGACATCAGTTTTGAATAATTTTGACTCGAACGTTTCATAGTCTTGACCCTACACCTGACCTTGTGCACACCTATTGACGAGCATAATATGTGTCTAAATCTTTTATAATTAGTCACCATATTACAAAGACATTTCTAGAAAGGTTGAAATCTTTTTGCTTCCTCAGTGATAGATTTAATGGTTGAGAAAGCATGAGATATATCTGGGATTGTATAATCTCATGTTTAACCCGATCTTAACAATCTTAAAATACAAGAAACATGCAATTTTTCACAGAAACACTATTTACCATATTTAATTCATGTCTGTTTGCCATTTGCAGGTATCAGTGATCTTGATCTACGCATGATCTCTGCCAAGTTTGGCTCTGAATGGTGGAAGCTGGCTACATATCTCAGTTTACGCCCCACAACGATCGAGCGCATCGTGATGGATGACCCAGGCCAGACGGAGAGCCAGATCTACCAAATGCTGGTCAAATGGAGGCGCCAACCATCCACAAGCACGCATCAGAGGGACGTGTTATGCACAGCTCTGATGGAGATCGGCAGAAGGGACATAGCTGAAGACCTGATAGGTAGGTATCAGAATGAACCACATCAAGCTTTATTTTCATGACATTAGTAGCCTTGGTACATATGATTGAATGATGAGGCAGAACACCCTTTTTTCTGGCCGTTAAAAAAGCTAGGTGTGTTGAATTTACTTTATCTACGGAATACCAAAAATCACATGAAATATTTTGTTATTAAACCTCAACCAGAGGCTGAAGTGGGAGGAGCTAGAGAACAGAGCAGGCAGAGAGGGACTACATCATCTGAAAGTCAGGGACAGGAAGATATTGGTCATCGAGACAAATGTCACCCAGAAGTTCAAGAAGGAGGGGCTAAAGAACATTGCGAGCAGAACAGCACTTCATCATCTGAGGGACGGAGACAAAATCAGCAAGAGGCAGGAGGAACACATCCGAACATTCAGAAAGAGACTTTGCAATCATCCGAGGAGCAGGGACTGAAAGGGTCAACACACACAAAATCAGGTCATGGGCAAGTGGGTGTTACACCAAGAAATCAGTCAGAGATACCAGAGGCAATGTTAAAAGAAATGACATCACAAGACCAACAGCTAGTGCAGGGTCCAAAGTCAGTTCACGACATCGTACCTGTAGGACAAACCTCATCCCGATCACCTGCTGTACTCAGACATGGACCTGGGCAACTAGTTTCCGTTGATTCCATGAGTGTCAGTGGTGAAAATTGTCCTGTCTTCTTGGGAGCGGTTAACCAACCTACTTTTACCTTGAACGTTCAAAGCTTGAAGGTTACAGGAAAAAGTTCAGGTATGTTCCAAATATCAGTGTGTCATTTCTCTCTCACTCGCTTCCTTCCTAGTCTTTTAGTCTCTGTTGCTTTTATCATACATACAACCAGAAAGCCAGATACTCAGTAGCCAGCCAATCACTCAATAGCGAGATATGCGTAAAAATGTGTATCACCCTAATGTAATAAAACGATCAGATGTCCAGATTGTCAAACAGTGACAGTGAAAAGAGTAAAATATATGGAACTGTACGTACTAGCGATAGATGAAATTGAAAAAAAAAATATGCATCAGATAAATATGTATAAAGAACAAATTTTTGTTTATGTCAACGCACTTCAGCCGGCTTCTTGATTTGACTTTGAGGCCTGTTGGTGTTTCTGGCTCGGGTCAACTGAACCTTCAGTGTATAGATTACAAGCTCCGCTTAAACTGAGGCTGATGAAAAATCAGAATGCAGTTTAGACACCTCAAAATGAACATGCAATTCATTGCCAAGTGGGCCGACATCATATATTGAAGTTGGCCCAGTCAGAAAGAATCGTGAATTAATTTTGAGTTTTCATAAACTGCACTTTGATTTCTTATCTTTTTTCCCTCTACACCCAAAAACAATGTCAGCAATTAAAATGGCAAAATTGGCGCGGCCTCAGCCATAATCTATACAAATTCGGTTTAATCTGTGCATAATGAAAAAGAGAAACAGATTTGTAGCGGTTCCCTGGTATACAACTACTAACACTTTAGAGAGTATTTAAAAACGAGCATACATATATATAGAAGTCTAAGTGTCTTTCCTACGAGATGTAGGGTTGCTAGGAAGCACAACTCACTCCACCTTTACACAAAGAGTCCATGGCCTTTGTTATATCAAAGTACTTTTGATAATGAAGACGTGTCACGTGATATCTCCCCCCCCCCTTGCAGGGTTTCCAAAAGTGTCAATAGAAACAGACGTAACAAGGCAGGGTAGCGAGGACCGTGGCATGAATGATGTTCTCCGGATAGCCCTGACTACCTTACATAGAACGGAGGGAAAGGAATACGTCCTTGAGCAAATCAAGGCTTTCCTGAACTCATGTGACGGAGAGCTTGAGGAAGTAATATCTGGGTCTGTGACATTTGTTGTCCGCTTCAAGAGTCGGGAAGGTCTGAACAAACTCTGGAGTATGTACACCACTGGAGAACTCGCCAAGAAACTGACAGAGATTCTCATCACAGATGAACTGACTACAGAAGATAAGAGTGACTTGGCTATCCAGGCAACTATACCAGAAAGCGACTACGATCGGGCCTGCAAATTCTTTGACGAATTGGAAAAGGACCAGCAGAAAGGTAGCCAAATGCTGTAAAATTAAAACTGCAATCTGACTCATTTTCTAATTTATGTTTAAAAATAACTCTTTCATTGTCTGAATTACTTTTTTAACAGATGAAGAGGACTCAAGCAGCATGGAAGAGGTACAGCATACACAACTTGGAGAAAGCAGCACAGCAACGACAGCTTACAGTAGCGATCCAACCGGATACGCTGAAGACAGATGTGAAGAGAAAGTGAAGACATCGTTTATGACAACAGGTATAGATAATCACAAATGGATGAATGGTTAGATAGTGGCAAAATATAACGTTAGTTAAGGCTGGCGATGAGACAGAGGAAAGGGTAATATATGAATGTATATTCCTTGAAAACACGGGAGAATGATCCCATGAAATTGTTGAGCAACAATCCATTCTGTTTGGAAAACATTGCATATGGTTGGGCATTTAGCTCCAATCTACGCTACAAAAAGTTGTTACTGTACTCTGATCTGAGGCACAATCAGTAGGATCAGAAGGAAACTTTATTAGGTTTTTTTTTTCACAGAAGCTTCCTTTGCCATATTAATTGATACGTGTCTGTTTGCAGGTATCAGTGACCCTGATCTATACAAGATCTCTGTGATGTTTGGCTCTGAATGGCAGAAGCTGGCTACACATCTCGGTTTAAGCGCTGCTGAGATCGACCGCATCGTGATGGATGACCCATGCCAGACAGAGAACCAGATCTTCAGCATGCTGGTCAAATGGAAGGGAAAACAGGGGGAGGTGTTATACAAAGTGCTGATGAAAATGGGGAGAACGGACATTGTCGAAGAGCTGATAGGTAGGTAATCATTAGACATTAGTAGCTTTGGTACATATGATTGACTGACAAAGCAAAACACTTTTTTTCTGGCCTTTAAAATAACTATGTTTAATTTACTTTACATATGGTATTCAGGAAATTCAGGAAATCACATGAAACCATTTGCTGCATTTAATGGCGAATATGCTGTGCTAGTTATCGTACCAAGCAATTGGCCTGTTATCTATATAAGAACCTGTTATTATCTGAAACAGTAACATCAATGCTTTGACCTTTGAAGTGTAATCGGAACATAGTACAGTTCTTCTTGTAATAGTTATTGTTACCCCATTAATTGATTCATGTCTCTTTGCAGGTTTCAGTGACCTTATTCTACACAAGATCTCTGGTATGCTTGGCTCTGAATGGCGTAAGCTGGCTACACATCTTGGTTTCAGCACTGCAGAGATCAACCGCATAGAGATGGATGACCCAGGCCAGACAGAGAACCAGATCTTCAACATGCTGGTCAAATGGAGGCGCCAACAATCCACTAGCGTGGATCAGAGGGACGTATTCTTCACAGCTCTGATGCAGATCAAGAGAACAAATACTGTCGAAAACCTGATAGGTAGGTATCAGAATGAACCACTTTCATTGTTTTTTTTTTCATGACATTAGCAGCCTTGGTACATATGATTGAATGACGAAGCAAAACACCTTTTTCTGGCAGTTAAAGTAGCTAAGTGTGATTAAGGTACCTACAGGAAAAATGTATCACATTACCAACGGTACGTATACCTGAAATCCCATGAAATGCTGTTGTTAACTTTCTGTTTGAGGTTCACAATTTTTTCTGTATGAACAAAAAATTGAAATGAGAAAGTGGAAAAAATGTCATGTCATGTTCGATATTAAGACACATACTCACAAAAGAGATTTATTCACATGGTGCTACCGCAAACTTATTTTAGTATCTTTCCACCATGCAAATCTTCAAATCTCATGTTGGATATTGTTTTCTTCTGCTTGCATTACCCCCTCCCTTTTTTGGTTTGGGGGGGGGGGGGGTATTGAGAAAGGTAAGGGAACAGGTCCTTATGCATCATTAAGTATGCCCATAGCACTGGAGATTCATAGGCAGGTGGATTTTGGTGATCATCCACACCCCAAAGAAGACATTTCTCGTGTAAAGACTTAAAAGTGACCTCGAAACAGCATTATATATTGGCAAAAGTTTCACTTTCATCATGCATATGATCAAAATTTCCGCATGCATTTCGTCACAGCTGTGTTCATTTGAAGAGTGTAAAGGACTGACTATTCGTAGGTAACACCGACCTCATAAACCTCATGGGTTAATCACTGTTGTGATCTCGGGGATGCCAAATTTAAAACAAATAATCCTGAATACCGTTACTTAAATTTTAATCCTAGGCAGAAGTGTACATTTTGCCACACTAAATGGGAAACTAAAACTAATTCAATTTTTATGTGAAATAAAGTAACCAAAAAATATTTTTAAAAGGAGCGGAAAAAAATTATAGATGGTGCGAGGACTTGAAAATATAGACCAGCAGATTGTTAGGCTTTGTTGAACTGTAGCTTGAAAGAATAATTGTAATGAATCATGTTCATCAGTTCTCAAATGAATTACTCATTATAATTGTATGATTTGTTTTAGAAATCACCGGACTCCAGGGGCTGGTTACCTTTAAGGATTTACAACAGGAAATTATCGACAACTACAAGCAAACTGCAACGACTATTCCTGCACACCCTACACTGCAGTCACGTCAAGTGGGTATTGAGGAATTCTTTTTTCCTCTCCATCTAATAAAGAACATTCCAGGCAAAACAAAATCAGAGAGGTCGGTGACATTACCAGAAGGAGAAAGATTGTTAGATATTAATCAAATGATATCTCTCAATTCCTTGGATGATTTGTTGAATCCAGAAGTAGTTAAGGAAATCAAGATTCTTCTTTATGGCGGGGCCGGGACGGGTAAATCAACCCTGTTAGTGAAAGTTGCAAACTTGTGCATCACACTTAGTTCAAAACCCCTTCTTGGTAGATTCGATCTTGTGCTTTGGATAAAGCTGAGGCAAATGCAGCATACCAGTTGCGTCTTGGATGCCATATTTGACCAAATTCTAGCACGAAACACCAAACTGACAAAACGCATAGTGAAAGGGTTCATTGATGATCATGAATCAGGCATTGCTTTGCTGTTGGATGGAGTAGATGAAATTCCATCTCATGTTTTGCAATCTAAGGAGGGCGTGTACAGGGTTCAGGATATCTTACACAACAGAGTCCTTACTAAAAGTTTTGTGTTGGTCACCACCCGACCCCACATGAAACAGTACATACTTAGGGGTCACCCAAAGTATGCCCTAGTGGAGACAACTGGCTTCAATCCACAAAACAGAGATCAGTACATCAGATTAAACCTTCCTGATGATGCTGACATGGGAGAGGCATTGGTTTCAAATCTGAAAACCAATCAACATCTCTGGGAAATGTCAAAAGTTCCGATCATTTCCCAGATGATGTGCCTTGTTTGGAAGAATCAAAAGTCATTGCCTGAGAGAATTACTGAGCTGTTTGCAAAGTTTGCAGAGGTTCTTTTCATTCGCCGCAATGAAGAAATGAGTGATCAGCACATGATGTCCACCATGATGTCCATCATTGATGACTTGGGGCGTGTTGCATTGCAAGGGTTACTAGACTCTAGAGGGGAAAGACTCATGTTCAATGAAACTGAATTTCAGGATTGTCAGTCTTGCTTAGCTGAGGGTTGTCGTGTGGGTTTCGTTCTACGTGAAACGTTCACGAGTGGTGTGGATGTAAAAGTGCTGGTCACTTTCCCCCACAAGTCCATCCAAGAATACTTTGCAGCATGTCACCTGGTGAAATTGCTACAAGATGACGAAAACAATTTCCGTCATCAGTTGAAGCAGATTGGAGAACGCAATGTTCTTGCGATGGAATACATGCTGAGATTTTGTTGCGGTAAATCAAGGCAGGCAGCTGGTCTAATTCTGGATCACATACAAGAGATGCAAGGTGATGAGGGGGAACTGCAGAGATTGGCTCGGTCGCTATTGTATGAGTCTGGTTCTGAGAAGTTGGCTACCAAACTTGTCAGACCAACTCAGGTAGACTGCAAGAGTAATGAAGACATGAAATCACTGAGTTACTACTTACAGCATGTCACTCCACCACTTAAAGATACAGCTTTTAACATGCATGTAAGAATGCAGGACCTAATGACCCTTTCAAGGGGAATTCTTCCGAGTGACAGCATGAAGTCAGGCATGATATATGTTACCTACTTCTTGTCTGAGCAGGAGAAGGAGGAGCTTAGCCTCCTTGAGAAAACACTTGGTGTGGTGGATAAACAGCACCTTGCTCGATTACACATTGCAGTTATTATTGAGGCAAAGTCATGGTTTGATGTGGGGCGTGTATCGCACTGTTTTTTCAACATACGGGAACCAATACGATGGCTTGGTTTGACTATGAGCCAACGATCACCGGATGAGGTTATTGATCTATTGAAGACACTGGAAGGATGCAGGTTGAGTGCTCTCGCACTGTATGACACCGACCTGCATGCACGGATGGGAGATGTTAGCCACATCTCTTCATCCCTTAAAGTCTTGCTCCTCAGTGAATGCAGGTTGGTCGATGATGATGTGAAGGACCTGATCAGCATCTTTCCTGCTGAGCATGGTTTATTGGTGCTTTCCCTTAATGGCAATGAATTCAGTTTGGATGCAGTGAGTGCTCTCACTCATCATCTCCAAAGTCTCCGCAAGTTAGGTTCGTTGTCACTGTGTAACATTAGCATCGATCCTGAGCCCGTCAGACAAAGTGTCAGTCAAAACCTCCCTCACCTGAAGGAAACTGAAGAGGGAGTTTTCAAAGCCTAAATCATCTCCCACCAAGTCATAACTCTCACCCTGTTCCCTATGAATGCAACACTCTCATGAGCCGCATTAATTTGAAACGAGTACCTAGTAACATGGGTCATTTCAGGCACAGGCGTAGCCAGGAATTTGGAGCAGGGGGGGCCAAGTCGGACCAGCCTGTACAAACCCCAACCAGGGGCGGAACTGGGATTGTCCAAAAAGGGGGTGTGTGAAATGTCACAAGCAGCAAGTGGTGTAGGCAAGTTGTGTCGCCTACGCTGAAGGCCAAAGGGGGGGGGGGTGATGAAAAGTAATGCGTGGCGTGGGGTCCGGGGCCCGCTTAAGGGCCCCGGAAAATATTGGATTCTAGATTCTACATGGTGCGATCTCAGGCAATATCTAACCACTTTAACCAATTTTTTTCGCAAAAGATCACCATTTAAACATCGAGTTTGGAGTCATTGAATCAGCTATCCTGAAAACTCTAAAATCAAACTGTAGTACTAGTAGGCTACAAGATTTATTCAGTGATGAAAAAAAGTGGGTGGGACAAACGATACAATACCCCAACTTTAAGCAGGGGCGTCAATTGCTTCTCAAAAGTGGGGGGACATACCTTGATCAGAACTAATGCGAGCGCGAAGCCCTTACGGCGTTGGGTTCAGGGCCCGCTCAAGGGCCCCGAAAAAAATTGGATTCTAGATGCTGTGTAGTGTGATCTGAAGCCATTTCTGACCATTTTAACCAATATTTTTTTAGCAAAAGAAAATAATTCGAACATCGTTTTCGATGTTCGAGTCATTGAATCAGCTATTCTGAGCTAGGCTTTGGGTCGGGTCCCCCCCAAAATTTGATTCTATAGATGCTCTGTGCTGCGATCTGCGGCAATTTACTTTAACCGATATTTTCTTAGCGAAAGATAATAATATTATTTAAACATCATTTTCGAGGTTGAAGTCATTGAATAAGCTAGGCCTATTTATATTCTCAGCTAAAGGCGTTGCGTTGGAAATACATTTTTCTTTTGCCTTAGGCAAAGTAAAACAAAAAATCATGTTTCTCGTCCCCACCCGCTTCCTTTTTTGGAGCTTTTTTGGAGGCTTTTTTACTTTTGAAAAAAATCAGTAAAAAAACACCGAACAAGTCGGAAAATAAATACCAATACCAATACAACTCTAAATGACGCTGTAAATATGTTCAGTTCTCTTGTCCAACTTGTCTTTCCTTTTGAAAGTGTCTTTGAACATTGGAAACACCAACGGTTGCAGAAAATTTTTAAATGGCAGTCATCTTGAAAAAAATAAAAAATAAAAAGCCGCTCTTCCTCCTTTTTTTCAAAAACCCGGACGAGAAACATGTTTTTCTTCTTATTTGGCCTTAAATGTTTTTGGTATTCCTTTGTTTTGACTGATTTTACATCGAATACAGTATAAAGAGGTTTTCATTGTATTCAACTTGGTCAAGAACGTGTTTAATACGGCATGAGGTCCGGGGTCCGCATCAGGGCCCCGCTTAAGGGCCCCGCTTCAGGGCCCCGCTTCAGGGCCCCGGGACATTTTTGATCCTACATGCTCTGTGGTGCAATCTGAGGCCATTTCTGGCCCCTTTCACCTGAATTATTTGAGCAAAAGTTTTTTAAGATTTTTTTTTTTTTTATAGAAAAAGGCATTACATGATTTTCGGACAATCAAATACACATTACTCGTATTTCGTACTCGTCATTAACGTTGGGTTTTGGTAAAATGTCATTTTTTTTTTTACAGCAGGGGGGGCTATGGCCCCCCTTGGCCCCCCCTTGGCTTCGCCTATGATTTCAGGTTAAGTCAATGTTCTGCAAACCCCTCCCCCGAAAAAAAATACAATAAGGGGCTTGATAATCAATTTTAAAAAGTCAACCAAAAAGGTTTCAATACAAATAGATTTATTCAGAATCCTCTTACATTATGAATATAAATAAACCAAGCATAGTCGGTCGGTTTCTTTTGAGAAAATATCTTGTATCGCATCATCTTAGGTAAAAATTGTGTGAGATGTCTTCAACTTTTGTGACAAAGGCCGCCTCCTACCCTGTTATCCGATCAATGTAGTAATATGGCATTCAAACAAACTAATGTGACTACACGCAAATGGCTGCACGACACCCTTTCATAGACCAGTGCTGTGCAAAACTTAGTATACAGAATAATACTCCAAACCTCAGGTACTTTTGAATTGTTTTGCATAAAATGCAAAAAGCATGTACACCCTGAAAAAGAGACGCCTTTTTTCCAGAATAGCATTTGCCGCAGCTTAGTACAAATTAGAAACATTCTCACAAGTTCACATGCGGCCTCCAAACAGACGTTTCTTTTGAGTGATTGTGCTTCATTCAATATCAAATTCTTTCTGTGAATTAACGTAAATCATGCATAAATAATTCCAGTTTGCTAACTTTTGTATAGATCTTTAACTTTGACTGTTTATGTAATATACCTTTAAAGTGGTCCAGTTGTGTAAAAGCAGAATAGCGTGGATTGTGTTTACTATTCAACTATAGGCCAATGTCCATATTGAGAGTTACTGAACCAGTGTTCGTACTGTCAAACAATTCATGTATAATATATACATGTAGAATGTTGCATTGCCAAATGACGCATTTTTGTCAGAGGACAGTCATGTTTGCTCATTCAGGACCAATCGTTGCAATTGTTGTATACGCGAAAATGTTTCTGTGTTTCTGATTATGTTGGAATAGGTACAAGTCGAACGATTTGCTTGTTTTTATCATTGCAAGCCTCTTCAAAGTATTGGTTGACACTAGATTTGTTTGTTCCAAGTATGATCAATATTCTGTTCAAAAACTGACATTTTTGTTTCTAACAGTTTTGATTTTTTGTAGTTGCCAAGGTGATAGCAGTGCATGGTTTATAACATGCCCAAATGCAACCATTCATTTTGGTAATAGTAGTTCTGCAGGAGAGAAAAGGTATACTTTGAATCAACGTTTTGATATATCGAAATGTAAACTAATGTAAATAATGTCTAACTGTTGTTGCTGGCATGACATATGAAAGAAGATTTTGATTAAAATGAGATTTACACATTGTAACTTCAAAGCCGAACTGATTGCAATTTTAAATTAATTTACACATTTAAAGGGATGGATGGGATCATTTGTAATTATCCCAATAGTAACCTACCGAATTGTAGTAAAAAAGCTCACTTGGATTAAAGATCGTACTGGTACTAAACACCCTGTGAAATTATTCCATCTGGCTTTCTGTCATTAAGAAGAAATCAAGAAATGTAGGTGATTTCCAATGATCAGTCAATTGACTGGTGTTTGGATATAAAGGAGTTCTATGGACAAAATCGCGTTTATTGATGAAAAGTTTGTGCATGGATATTTCACTCTTTTCTTGAAAAGTGTAATATCCTAAGCCTCAACATTTTGAGTATTCTTCTGTGGAACAGCGATGATATTACTTGTATTGGCAACAAACAAAACACATGAAATACAAATGTTCCTGTATGCCTTTAAGCCATGGCTTACAAACTACATGTGATTTTTATCTTGTGATCATTAATGTGCAACTCTGTAAGATAAGGTCATCACTCGGGTACGAACTCCAAGTCAAGATAATCTGCTGACTTCTGGAAAGTTTGGTTTCTGTTTCACATTTACTAAAATGGAGCGAAATAAAACCTTCACTCTTTATGTAGAACATTGTCATAGTTCCTGACGCTTCTCCAACCAGTGAGTGTGCTCCCGTTACACAAACACTGGTTATTGAAATGTCCTCAGTTGTGCTTCTGTTTTTCCCAAACGTTATTTCGTTATTATCAAATAGACGTTGAAAGTTGACCTGGATCTTTTCGTGCAACTTAAGTTAATTGTTGTCATAAAACTAAACCATGAAGGAAAACTGTCTCGATGCATTATAAGCCTTTCTTTTGTTTGTAAACATTGGCGCCATTTTGTATGGGCTGCCGTAAGCGCATAAATTGAAGCAGTGGTTGGCAACATATTTTTCCAAAAAAGTCCTCACAACGCCATCATTACATAGTAAAAAGGCATATTTAGGAATTATTTTGTAGCTTTGATGAAAATGTTGTATTTTCAAGCATTATATAATATTTTTGTGATCTGTGCTAACTCTTCTTCATTTTTGCAGTGCTGGACCTTCCATAGTTTTACAGGCCGAGGTTGGCAAAAGTGCAGTTTGCCAACCAAGCGCAGAAAGGTCTATGATAACTTGAAAGTTGAACAAAGACATTGACTGGAGCTGGTTTGACCCTGTGACCTTCGAATTCCTGTTCCGGTACGGTAATCCGGTACGGTAATCCGGTACGGTAATCCGGTACGATAATCCTGCTACAGTCAATTTCCTTGTTTAATTTGCTATTTGCAATTTGCACCGTTTTGGCGAAAGTAAGTTGATTTGGCTTTGATATGGTTAACTGTGAAAGAGATTTTGTTGGAATTTGTATGTTATTTGTATTATTTGTTATTGGTGCAGAAACATTTCTGATCTCTTCTTTTCCTTTGTTCCAGAAATTTGGAGTAAAGTTTAAGACATCAGGATTATTATTTGACATTGTGTACATATACGTTGTATGATTATTATCGTGTAATAAATCGTTGCATGCAATGACTTGTGTCAATCAAGGAAAAATCTTTGAGGTTAGATGATTGTTGTGTTATGCCTCCATTCCTCCCTCAGTGATGGACGAATCTCCCGCCTCTGAGTTCTACAGCTGGGTCACCACGTGGGTTTTGTAATCAGGCATGCAGGCTTCATAATGAGGATAGCAAAAGAAATTCCTTAAAAAATATATCAACCCAATCACAAATTTACTTCATGCAATTAAAAATATGATTACACAGCTAAATCGCTGATGGATCCAGAAGCATTTATTGTTGGGGGATTACGAAAGTGGTAACCGACAGGCCAGTTGTTGCCAATTCCTTATGTGGAGGGGCGGGGCTAGATTGCATTTTATGGGAGGGGTGCAGTGTTTCCTTTCTTTTCTTTCTTTGTATTATAAAGTGGCAACGGGGATGAATAGACTACAATTTCGCATTAAAACAGTCGTCTTCACTTGTTCCCCGGTGGATTTATCTTAAAAGGCATTTCTGGGGGTC